GTAGGTGACTTTGAATCCATGGCGTGCACAATGTAGGAAGCTTTATGGTATGATTCTTGATGATTTGAAAAGATTATGTAACACTCTTCACAATGTTCCAAGAAAGGTTCCATTTGGATGCTTGAGCTGAAAGTTATTCAACTTTGAAATCCAGAAAAACAAATTGTTTTGTGGACTTAGAGAAAATTCAAGTTTTTTCACAAAAACTAACCTATAATATCTTGCATTAAAAAATTGTCTTCTACTCAAAATTTGAACTTGGTCTTTGAAGAAAAGGAAGTATACATCTCAATGAGTATATTGAAACTTGTATCACTCAAAAACTCCAAGTATTGAAAAAGTTATGACCTTGTGAAATTGGTGAAAATCCATGAGATTGCCTATAATCTTTTGCATCCTTAAGGCATCTTCCACCCATTTCCACACTTTTCACTTAAAAGGAAGGTTGAACTTCACATCTCTAAGATCAATATGGAAAATTAATGGGCTCAAGGTGATAAAACTTGATCAAGTTATGATCTTTTGAAGTCATATGTGGGAATTTGATAGTTCATCTAGAGGACTTATAATCTTTCTTCATCATTAGGTATCTTCCACACAAACTTTACTTGAAGATTTTGAAGTGATTTGTTAATAACCCTTTAAAGAGAAGCATGTTTTTGGAATCACCCAAAAATACCAAAAGATGAGCAATATATACCCCTTTGAAGTTCAAAACCCTAGCTCCTAGAGCAACAAAATGCTTTGGGAAACCTTTGCAATTTTGATCAACTTTCTTGAACAAATACTTTTGTCATGTAAATAGAAGTTGATGAGGATGATAAGGATAAATCATGGCAACCATAACCACTTCTAAATCTTGATAATTTAAGGAGATATGCACTTGTGATAAATGGAAACAAAGACTTGTCCAACTTCTTCAATCAACCCTTGTACCTTTGAACTATTTTTGACAACTTGAGGCATGATGAATCATAATAGACTTTTTCATGATGTTATTTCAAAATATCTTCAATAATTAAGCTTGAACCTCAATGAAACTTTGTTGAAGAAGGCACAGAAGTGAACTCATGAACCTATAGATCAACTTGAGGGAATGTATTATGCTTTCACCTACAACATCATCAATTAGGGAAAATATTCATTGTATTTGTTAGTTAAAAGTTAACCACTACAAAACACAGATGATCATAAAATACAAGTCAAGGTACATGGTGATTCCCCATGAGAAAAACTTAAAGATAGGGAGAAGAGCCAAACCCTAGTGTGATCTTGTTGTGATTGAATTGATGTGACGTGATAGAGGGATCTTAGGGGCAAAAATTGGGGTACAATAGCTGCCCTTATTTAAGTGTCTTCTATCCGGAGATGCGAATGTTAAGAATCTTCGTGTCGACGCGATTGAGGATACTTAAATATAAAACAAGCCTTATTTTTGGCCCTAAGATGCCATGCATTGCTCGTGATTATGGATGCGAATGAAAAAATACAAAAAGGGGGCAAGACCCCATTGGGGACATGGTAAATAGAACAGGCTCAAAAGGAAAACTCGACCAGGAAAATAAATCACTGGTGAGAAAAAGATCAGACTCCTTTGGGGTAAAGCCCAAAGAGGAGATAAAGTGTCTCCAACTTAAAAATTAAGGAGAGAGAATGAAGGATAACAGTGACCGACAGATGACTACGAACTATCCATTCATTTAGGAGATAGCAAAAAGGTAACATCAATCCACCGGGGAAAGAAGTGGTAAGATAATACCAATACATTTCAATATTAAGGTAAGTAGTCAGTACTCATGACTGAAAACAGATGAACTCCTTCAGACCAATAGGATCTCAACGATGAACTACCTTCCATAATGACAAGGCTACCATTCATCGGAAAAATATCTCAACAATGAACTACCTTCCATAATGAAAAGGATACCATTCATTGGAGTAATAAATCTCAACAACGAACTACCTTCCATAAATACAAGGCCACCATTCATTGGAGTACTAAAATCTCAGCAACAAACTACCTTCCATAATGATAAGGCTACCATTCATTGGAGTAACAAATCTCAACAACGAACTCCCTTCCATAAAGACAAGGCTACCATTCATTGGAGTACCAAAATCTTAGCAATGAACTACCTTCCATAATGACAAGGTTACTATTCATTGGAGTAACAAATCTCAACAATGAACTACCTTCTATAAAGACAAGGCTACCATTCATTGGAGTAACAAATCTGAATCTTCTCGGGGAACTGTCAGACTTAATGGGGAAGTACAGGTTGCTCAAATAAAGAGACCTGCTACTTGTTGTTATGAGGAGGAATTGCAATAATGATTTCCTGAGGAAAAAGATATGGTTTCCTGAAGAAAGATATAGGAATTCCCGGGTAAATACCAATATGTTCCTGTTGAGGAGATAAAATCTTCACGTGCGAAATAAACGCACATTCTCAAATACGGGCCTGAAGCCTACAGAAATCAAAAATAATAATATTACTATCGGGGACCCCAAAATTCAAACCAGAAATAAACCGAAATGAAGAAGTCAACCAAAATAATACCTCATAATAAATAAACTCAAGAGGGAAACACATTTTATCCAGACAATGAGCTAAAAGGAAGGCTAAAGCAAAATTCTTCCATGAGGGATAGCTCAGTGGGGGGAAGTGAAAGGATATACATTTTCTGCTTAACGTTTAAACTCTATTGTAGAGAGGATAACACAACTCTAAAAAACAAGCTAATATGCCAATTGTTGTACCCTAAAATTTTCCCTACCATTTTTCACTCAAGATGCTATCCCAGGGTTTCTCAAACACTCAAATTGGCACAAGATTTGATCTGACAGATTCTCTTCCTATGCTTTGAGTCAGCAGCTAGGGTTTGGTATTTCTTAAGCAAAATTGAGTTTCAAAAGTTTCAATTGGTCTTTATGGTCCTTAATGTGTTCTCAAGGATGTTTGTTCCAAGTTTTGAGTTTGCTCAGTCAATGGTCCAGATGACTAAAAATCAACTACAAAAGTCGGCCTTTTCAGTATCAAGTTCAAACAATTGTAACTTCTTCATTTTTCAATATTTTTGAATGGTTCTTTTTACGTATGACTCTCTTTAATGTCATCTCCATTTTCTCTTCACAAATCAAGAGTTGGTTACACGTGAAAGATCCCCATAATTCGGATATGTTAGAAGTCGCATCATGGATTTTGACCTAATCTTAAGTAACTATGCCTGATTTCCAAGAATTGTAATCTCCTCAATTTTCAAGATCTTGAGGCGATTATTCTTGCACATTGCCATAAGCAACTCCATGTACAAAATCTCTTCAAAGATCAAAGGAAAATTGTGCTTTGAAGACCTTGAAAATTATCGAATCGTCATAGGTCATCTGCTTGATTCTGAATGCTCTTAACTCCTAGGCTTTGTTCATATCGTAATCATTTTTCTCAAAAAAAATTGATTCTTATGTCGGGATAATTCATGAAAATGGAAAGTTTGGGTCGAAAATTCATTAATCATTTTGATGCTAGCATTGTGAATCATTGATGTCGAAACAATGATGATTATTGGATCGATGTTGGACATGTTTAAGCTCATAAGACATTCGCTTTATTCAGAGATTTGATTTAAGATTAAAGGATGGAAAATAATATGGTTGAATTACATAGAAGCCAAGATACAAAGCTCAATTCCATTATGATTTCGAAGGCTCATTCAAGAATCAAGGCGCTCAAATTTTCATGTGCATTCATCATTCAAAGTTCATCATTTCACGATGCAAATTCAAGACATCAAGGGTTTAAGATCCATTTTGATACGAAGTTCTCTTCACAAAATCATTCAAGATTTCATATTCATTCAATTTAATTCAAGTTTACAAAATACAAATTTAATTCATGTTTTCCAAGCTTCAAATTACAAGTTACAAGAAAATTACACAAGTTTTTGTACATAGAAACCTAAAGTCCTCCCTAAGCATATGCTAACTTGCTTCTAAAATCTTCCATGCTTCATTTGGTTTCCAACCATGTCTTTTTCATTTTCAATTCTTCATGTTGCTTTGAACCTAGCATCAATCATCCACCTTGCCTTGTCTTCTTCATCTCCAAGTCAACATTCATCACATGAAAAAAAAAAAAGTGTTAGCAACATGAGACTTTAAGCATAAAATCAAATTTTTCAAGAAAACTTCTCATCATGAGGATTTGCATTTGGAATCAGTTTAAAAGGGTTTGTTTTTTATCATGATCTAATCTTCTCCTATTTTTTTTTGCAAAACACAAGGTTTGGGCCTTGGTTCACAAAAAAGAAAAAAAATTCCCAAGGCTGCCCAGTCCAAAAGCTGCCAAGCGCACAATACAACAAGGACAAACAACAGGATAAACAAAAGCAGAAACAACCAAAGGTAGCAGCAGCATAGGATGCTAAAAAATACAAAGGTAAAAAATGTAGCAGCAATAGCATAGCAATGCTAGCTCATGATATGCACCCTGTCATCATTTTCCAAAAATGCAAATCCTTTAGAAAGTTAAAGAAATAAGAAAAAGCTGCTTTTGTTTCATAGAAAGAGGAAGGAGGAAAGAAGATAGGGACAAGTTAGGAAAATATCACCCAAGCATACAAAGCCAAAAACCTGCATAATAAGCCAAGAAAACCACTCCAAACTTGCTGCAGAAACAGCCCTGCTGCCCCTGCCCAAACCTGTCTAAATCTGTCCATAATTTGCATAAACAATGGCAAAACTAAAACTGCAACAAAAAGCGTTAGAATAGTATGCCACAATTGTTCAAATTCACTAATATTTTCCACCAAATTCCATATACTTTCAGCTATAAAAAATAGACAAAAAAGACAGAGAGGGGACTCGAAAATTATTCAGCCACCCTCTTTCAAACAACACTCTGTTTCCCTCACTCTAATCCTGACATCTTCTTTCAAATCCATAAACCTATCCACCATAACTTCTCCTTAAACCTTCAATCACTACCATATCTTTAACATCCCTACATACATAAAAACTGAAAGCGGTCTAATTGGTAGCTTATACCCACCCTCATTTTAACTCCTTCATTACTAATATACGTACTTGCTGTAACCCAAATTGCTCCCATACAAAATCTCAGCATAACATCACCAACACATAACAAATACACCAGAACAAGAACCAACAAACCACAGAGGAAACTAAAAGAAAAGTTTTCATTGAAAAAATAATCACAGAAGCAACCTGTATCTGTAAAATAGGAATTCAGCATGCTGTTGTTCCTTTGCCAACTGATGCAGTTAAGGAGTTCGTGTTTGTCAATGCAAAACAACATCATGGTATGCTAAGATGCAGGCAGTCTCGTTTCTAAAGCTGAATCAAAAAGTGAAGTCACAAGGAATCGCAAACCATACTTGTACTAATCGCGACACCTATACACACTGAAAAGAGAAAGAGGAAGCGGAGGTCAGTTCCAAAATTCAAAGAAAGATGAGAATTGATCGAACGAGGCGGGATCAGTTGGCAATTCACAGTCCAATATCAATCTCAAACCTAAGTCTAAATAGAGAGAAGAGAAGAAGAGGAATAGTTTAAACTTACTGAAATTCGTAAATTCTCGTTGGAGCTCCTGCTTGCACCACCGTGAGATCTTGATCCCTAGACACCGGTTTGAAACCCTTGAAGTAAGTCGCCGCTCACTTCTTCCTTTGATGTCTTCATCATCTTTGTCCGTTTCCGTCGTCTCGGCTTCGACGCCTTCTATTTCATCTTCATTTTCTTCTCCTTCCTTTCTCCGATTCAGACGTTCTTTTTATCTAATGCATCGTTGTTGAAACTTCGATCGTCCTCCGCCTTGGTACCGTTCTTCAGTTCATCAACTCCGATGTCACCCCGACAACTACAGTTAAGTCTCCAACTCCACAACCATAAAACTCGCTGCAATTTCCAAAGAACATGGAAGCTTTAATTTACAGGGGAAACACGTTTTAGAGAAGCAGGTTGCAAGGTTGTCTGCGTTTGTTAATTGTAAAAGTAGAGAGAGAAGGTTGCTATGAGTTTCAAGTAAGTTGCATCCCTAAATCCCTTTCATTTATTTTTGTTTGTCATACTATTATCATTTTTTTGTTTTATTTGTTTTCTATGAAAATTATGATGGGCCATTAGAATTACTTAGGCCCAAATATTCACATCATTTATTTTCTTTTCATTTAGTCTTAGCTCTTAGATACCAAAACCAAAAAAAAAAGATAAAAAGAAATAAAATAGAATACCAAAAGATATATATACCTTCGATTTAATTTCTTTGTAATGAATTTATTTCTTTTTTAGAATAGGTTGTAATTTTCCCCTCAAAATTCTCACAAACAAAAATATCAAGTTTTTTTTATTTTTTATACTTTGTTAATTAATTTTTGCTTCATAGACTATTGTAGTTTTAATTAATTTGTTCGATTCGATTTGGTTGTATTGATTGCCTATTTAGACTTTTAATCGCATCGATCCATCCCCATTTGTAAATTTGTACCCCCATTACCGAAAACTCTGTAATAGCGTAGAATTTCAATTCCCGCAATTTATTGTTTTCCTTATATTGTATAGTAATTAGGCATGCATGGCAAGATATAAAATCAATCGCTAGATAACCTAATTTCAACAAAATAACTTGAATCAAACACACCTTTCACACATGCACCTCTAGGGTAATCTCGCTTGTTGCCTCGGAAACACAGTCATGTCCCTCAAACATGGGACATTTTAGTAATGACCCTTCGATAAAATGATCGTTGTCCCTCGATGACCCTCGATGTTGCCTTTGATAAAATGATCTCGTCCCTTATGAAATTGCTAAAACGTCTCATAAGTTGCTTTCGATGATTGTAAAATTGACCCGCGCCTGTCCTTTCACATCCAACGATGGGGCTTCTTACCAAATCAATGGTAAGAAAGCAACATTAAAAGGAGGAAGAAAAGAACAATTGAAAACCTTTCGAGTAGATAGATTCGCTCCTAGTTACTCGTTTGCTCATGACAGAAACATTTTTACACCCACACTTTCATCTCAAAACATTTTCAAAAGATAAAATGTTTTTCATGGGTTCTTATAGAGACGAGAACCATTGCAAAACATCTTTTTTTCAAAAACACTTTCGAAAACACGTTCCACAAACACATCTTTGAACCACTTTTCGAAACAAAATTTTGTACGCGTTCTTATAGAAACGAGAACCATTACAAAGACACTTTCAAAATAATTTCAAAGCCCGCACCACGAGCACACTGTCAAATAAAAGCAAGTGATCTAAACGAGTAACTAAGAGCCCATGGAAAACCATGGATGAAAAGGGTGCTAATACCTTCCCTTTTCATAACCTACCCCCTGAACCCTAGAAATAATCTCGAAAGGTCTTTCCTGTGCTTTTTTACCTTTCCTTTTGGATAAAAGAAAAGTCAGTGGTGACTCTTGCTATCCGCACAAATACGATCAAAACACAAAATATCAAGTTAGTTCTCCCACCGTATCACAGAACCGGCGACTCTGTTGTGGAAAAAATTCTAAAAAGTGGGGTTACCTTAGGGTTAGATCACCTTTACTCGCTTTCATTATTTGATTTGTGTGCTTTATATTCAGTTCTTTATATTGGGTTTGCTTTGATCCTCCACCTGGATCTGGGACACCTTTTTAGGTAAATAGTAATAAATTGTGGAGACTGTACGGTGTAAACTGATATAGTTGAAACAATGGCTATGTTAGTGTGACACATTTGTGGGTTCCAGTATCCCTTGTGGTGAATCAAGGAGAATATGGGGCTGCTGAGTGGCGTCATGAAGCACTAATTGACTTTAGAACCCTAATTGAACAAACTTGGCCATTAGGACGTAGTGAGATAGCCGATTTCAGTGTAGAGATGAAAATTGGTTGATACTCGATACTACACTCATTGAGGTTGTACTTTTAGGATATCTCGGCGGTAAGAAAAGATTGATTATGCTGAGACAATGCCTAGAAGAAAGGTTGGTGATATTGAGATCCTTTAGAACCCGATCACTATTACTAGGACAGGTTGAGCCAACTAAACTTCAAGAGGGTACTTACCTACAAACTCCATGCAAGCCTAAACCTAAGGACTTGTCTACTTTGTGTGTATATAACAACTTTCTCACTTTGCATACTTGTACATGACATCATGACATCATACCATAGCATTTTCAATAACCTTTTCAAGGATCTCAAGGGCCTATAATGCAGGGTTATGTTGAACCAGACGCCTATCCAGGGGCAAGAAGATTTATTTTCCTCTAACCGAACGCCGTCAAAGATCAAGTATAACAATTTGAGTCAAGGGATATGACCCACTTGACATGGTAAGCTTGATTCTCGTGGAAGGACATCCACCGATACAAAGTTCTCCAATAAAAAATGTTGATCAAAGTTCAACTTCTAAGTTTTTCTTGTGTTTACCCCGCGAGATCCTTGAAAACATGCATCCACATATCATGCATCATATCACGACAGGTTTCTCCCGTACAGGTCTCCTTATTTTCCTACTGTTTATTTCAGTAAGATGGATATGGAACAAACGGTTAAAGACATCCAGGCTCAAAACGCCCAACTCCGAGAAATGTTGTTGAACCTATCCAAGGGGCAAGAAGAAGTGAAAGCTCTCCTCACTAGGGGCATGATCATGGGGAATCTTGAGGGCAACAAAGATGATCAGTTGGAAAGGCTAAAAATTGAATTTTCCATAATGAGGGTCCAAATGATGGGACAACTGGTGGGCCAGATGGCTCTTATCCAAAATCTGGCTCAAGGACAAGAAGAGTTGAAAGTTCTTGTCAACCAACTTCATCAAGACGGTGGAAACCGTATGGGGGAAACAATCAGGATTGGAAATCAAGTCACTGCTCAGCCTCCCATGAGACAAGAAGCCAGAAGACCTTCCCAATTTGCTACTACCTCGCAGGCCCGACAACAACCTCGCCAACAACAACAGGGGAATCATCGCAAAGAGGTCGCACCTAAGAGACAATTCACCAGGATCGGCATGTCACTAGCTCAGGTACTACAACACATGTTGAAGGCGAAGCTAATTACATTAAAAGCTCCCCCCCAGAATCTTAATTATGTTGCTCCTAATTACCGTCCCAATGAGAGGTGTGCATACCATTCTGATAGTCCTGGGCATGATACAAACAATTGTTGGGCTTTAAAGAACAGAATTCAAGACCTAATCGATGAAGGAGTGTTGGAATTTACACAAGACGATCAACTGGAGCTCTTCTATCACCTCTAAAGAGTATCCATGTGAAGTGACGATTTGGGCGAGGAAATTTTCTGTTTATTCAAATTTTCAGTTATAATTTCTTTGTTTTCTTAAACACTTATCTATAGGTCAGACTTTGGTTACTCTCATTAATGCATTAAATATGTTTGTCTTGAATCAATCCATTCATCTTCATTATATCTTAAAATATGCTCTTTACTCCCTTTATGATATTCAATTCTTGTTTCAAAAGTTGCAAGCCTTTAGAGGGAGGATGACGAAAACAAATGCCATAATCTCATACATTATGCTTTTGAACAGACCTTGATGACGATGTACAGGCATTATTTCAAATCATAAACACTGGAGTTATAAGGAGGATAATCCCTAGTCAACCCCTTCGAGCCAAAGAACTAGAAGTTTCCTTTTTACACAAATTGAAACCTTTAATCAAAACCTGGGGCAGGGTAGTCTCTCAGTTAATTCGAATGCGCGTTCAAATCGCAAACTCTCATCTCGTAATACAACGAATGACATCAAAAACATTCCTTTAGAGTCAAAAGACAATGATGGTTCCCTACTAAATAGGCAGTCATTAGCTCTCAATAGAAAAACCCACTAAGTCAAAACCTACAAAGGAGACTTAAGGAAAACTGGGGCATCCCGCTGACCGTAAGAACAGTCAGGAAAAATAAGGGATAATAAATCAAAATAAAGAGGTCACTGCAAATCCTCAACAACATGAAAAATGTTGCAAAAATGACTGCCTTCCGACAAACTTAACTTGTCTGAGCCATCACCAAAACGTCATTCCAGACTCATTTGGAGTTCAAACGCACAATTAGCTGAGTTTAGGAACGAAGAACATCACGAAGAACGGGCGGGTACAAATATACTTTGAGCCTTTATCCTTTGTATCTTAAACCGTGAACCAATCCACGCTACAACCCCTCAAAAGTCCTAATTGAAGCATGGGTTAGTTCGAAAGCATATTGTTACAAAAGGTATCCTGACTCCTGTAAGGCTTTACTCTAAATCCCGAGTTGAATTTTTCAAACAAAATTTCTTTACTTGC